GTACACACCACAGACAGTCGTATGTTTGTTGGCATTTTCAAGTGCACTGACGCGGTAAGCAGCTTTCGCCAACCACACCCACCCTTCTCTCTATGTGGTTGGCACCTCATATACTTCTTCATTGCCTGCATTCCATGCTGACTGAAAGGAATGTATCAGGAACGAAACCTCATCCTGGCCAACTCACTTGAGTACCGCTTCCCCACTCCCTCTGCCGTGGAAGCGGCTGCGAAGGAGCACGAATCCTGGGACAACGCATCCGAAGCCTCAAAGGCCACCGTCAAAGTCAATATGACCAGTCGTCTTATCGGCCTGATTGTGATCCCGGGCAGACATATTACAAAGATTGAGCTGGAGTAAAGGCCCGACCCGAAACATGGTGCACATTCTGCCTTTTTACAAGGTGGCGTCTTACTGTTTACTCCCCAGTGAGAATTTACCTCTGGCCGACAATGGATACGACTACCACGGTGAGATCACGCCTTGGGATATTGCCCTCCCAAGAAAGATGCCGGGTTCTCGGTAAACCTGGGTTCTGCCCTACATGCCCAGAGATACTATCCTTGCTTTTCCGCCATACGTGGGGCTGCCAAGAATGAATTCCTGGCGGACCTATGCTCGTCCCTTCACAATCAACGTGGCAGGGAGAACACCGCATATGCATCGCGGCATCAGGCGGGCTTGGCCGGCAGGTCCGCTGCGAACGATCGACCAGTTGGGAAATTCTTTGTGTCAGCTCTAGATGGCCTCGCGAGGGTCCTGCACTGTGGGAGGAGGGGATGCAAAGGGCGGTGTCTCCGCCACATGGAGATAGATGCCTTGGCGTTATAGCGCGTACATAGCGGCTTTCGTGCAGAACCAAGATTATTTGCGGCTCCTATCCACCCAATCCGCAGCTCGGCCACGGACGGGGCTGGATCTGTACTGTTGAATGTAGACAGGCGGGCACAGGGGAGAAGAAAGAAAGAATCAAAAAAGAAAAAAAGAGAGAAATCAACGGACCACTGGGGACGACTTAGGGCCTGTCATCGATCTTGTTGACTAGTTTTAGTGTGTGAGGCGGGGTTGACGAGATGGTGGCGTCAGGATGGTAAACGGGATGCTTCTCAGCAGGTCAGCCTTCCCAAGGGCTTCCCCGCGGCTTGTGATAGGAGCGCAGGTGGGGTCTAAGCTCCAACCCACGGGCTTTGTTACTGGCTGGGTCATCAAAGGAAAAGTTTACGATAGGCATTAGTGTGCAGCAATTATTCGCACCGACTGCTCCAGCTCGTCGGACCAAATTTAAATCTGGAATAAAATGTGTCGCTTTTGTTCGCTTTTGCTCGCTTATCGGTGGGGAGGTCACCCTCCAGATTGTAAAGTTCGCAATGCTAGACTGCCTCTATGGTAGCCCAGGTTTTAAATGGCAGCCTTGAGGGGAGAGCGGAGTGTCGTATATGCTGCTCTTCTCCTCATTCCTCTCCGCCACCCACACCTACAGCTACTCTAAATGGAAAGTCAACATGATCATGGGAACAAAAGACTAAAAGTACAAAAATGTCAGCTATATCGATCGTTAATGTCATCGACTACGTATATCAATGGGAACTATAAATATCAATATCAACTGGGTCCAGACCCCCCCTCCAGGCATCACCTCGGCCCGTAGATGTTCCGGCTGACCTAATCTGGCCAGAAGCGGGCGACGCAGCTTCCGCCGCCGAAAAGCACCCTCAAGTACCTTCCCACGTACTAGCGGTGGCGGAGTACTTTCCTCATTCACAACCCCCCCTCTATCTCTGTTACTCTTCCTCCTCTCTCTCTTCCTGTTAACCACAATATACCTCTCGGTGAGTTCGACTATATTTCTTTTGTTTTTAGGATTCTCACGGCCTCAAAATACCTCAAGAGACAGCCTTGTCTTATCATGACGCATTTCTCTACCCGCCCCGTCCACACCCCAAATCCACCATAACCAAACTTCCCAATTCCTCCCTTGCCTTGCCCACCTCCACATACCATTTGAACTTCGTGGATTTCAGCCCTGTCGTCGCCCTTTATTCATACCCTCATGCTGTGTATGGGCAAGACTAATCCCGCGTGCAGAAGGAGCTTTTGTCCGTGCTGAAGCTTCAGCCCTCCTACCCCCCCCGGCCCTCTCAGCTCCCTTCGCCAGTTGCGTTTTTTCGACCACCCCTTTCCCGCGTAGTCGCTTTCGTCAGCGCCCCATTTCCTCTCGCTTCCAGTCTGGCCCTCGTCAATTCATACATTGTTCGGTTGTCCTCCTGTCGTTCCCTTCGTTGCCCGACTCTTCCTGAGAAATCGACCCGAAGATATCACTAGTTTGTCGAAACGGCTGCAAGGACCACTTTGGACTCTGTGCGCAGGGGTTCTGCAAGCCTAATATACTGTGTTTGGGTTGCAACCTCTCAGGAGTTAAGAGCCAAGACATTCCGACATCCAGGGGGCATTTTCTCGGCGTAGCGGTTTGAACGTCCGCTTCGTGCGCTTTCCCCCAGCTCGAGCTTGGCAGACATCCCAGCCTTGCAGTGATGGGTCAGTCGCATTCCAAGGGAAACGCCGCGGGCGACCCTTTGCAGTCGTACCCGTCCTTTTCGAAATCCGACACGAAAGAATCAATCCGTTCCTTCCGTGGTTCCATTCGCTCCAAAATCCGGAGCTCCGACAGTCCTCGGGGATCGACCACCGCCCTCTCTCAGACCGACAGTCAAGGCGACCGCTCCGATGCCGGTTCAATCAGGTCCGCTAAATCGTCTGGTAGTCGCCCCGGATCCAACGCCGGCCTTTCCTCACCAGGCTCTGAAGGTCCTTCGCGAACAGGCTCTCCCGAACCCCCACCATCGCCATCGCTGTCAACCAGCCTGCAGCGTGGTCATAAAGATGTGAATGCGATGCAACAGAGTGGCGAGGTCGACCATGTTTCGGAAGGTCCTCCTCAAGGTGGTCCGCCCTCAGGCCCTGGAGGTGTGGCTGGCGAATCCATCTTGATCAAGAAGCCGAACCAGGTAAATCCGATCTTGGATTTCATCCTCAATGCGCCACTTGAGACATCCGGATCCCCCGGCATGGGTATGGGCGCTTTGAAGTCCATTGATCTCGACGATATGATTTCGCGGCTCCTGGACGCAGGCTACTCCACCAAGGTCACAAAGACCGTTTGTTTGAAGAACGCTGAGATCACTGCTATCTGTTCGGCAGCCCGGGAGACTTTCCTATCTCAACCTGCGCTGTTAGAATTGGCTGCTCCTGTCAAGATTGTTGGTGATGTTCATGGTCAATATACCGATCTGATTCGTCTTTTCGAGATGTGTGGATTTCCACCCCAGTCCAATTACCTCTTCTTGGGTGATTATGTCGACCGTGGAAAGCAGAGTCTTGAAACTATTCTGCTCTTGCTGTGCTATAAACTGAAATATCCCGAGAATTTCTTTTTGCTTCGCGGCAACCATGAGTGTGCCAATGTTACCCGAGTTTATGGGTTCTATGACGAATGTAAGCGACGCTGCAATATCAAGGTTTGGAAGGGTTTCATTGATACTTTCAACTGCCTTCCCATTGCATCAATTGTCGCAGGAAAGATTTTCTGTGTTCATGGCGGTCTTTCACCTAGTCTCTCGCATATGGATGACATTCGAGGAATCGCACGGCCCACCGATGTGCCCGATTATGGGTTGCTAAACGATCTTCTTTGGAGTGATCCTGCAGACATGGAGGAGGACTGGGAGCCCAACGAGCGTGGTGTGAGCTATTGCTTTGGGAAGAAAGTCATTATGAACTTTTTGCAACGCCATGACTTTGATCTTGTGTGCCGTGCACACATGGTAGTAGAGGATGGGTATGAATTCTATCAGGACCGGGTCCTCGTGACTGTGTTCTCAGCGCCCAATGTAAGTGTTCTTCCTACCCCGCTTGGGCATCTGTTTGCTTTTTCATGACGTGGGGGTGAATACTGATTTATTTTCTCTCTTTAGTATTGCGGCGAGTTCGACAACTGGGGTGCAATCATGTCGGTCTCGAATGAGCTCCTCTGTAGTTTCGAGCTATTGAAGCCCTTGGATTCGACCGCATTGAAGAATCACATCAAGAAGGGTCGCAACAAGCGAAACAGCTTGTTGAGCAGTCCGGTAAGTCTTTCCCACCCCCTTGCGTGTGTTCCTCTTATATCGTGCCAAGCGATCGCCCCCATTCGCTGTGCGACGATGCCGAGACACCCCTCGCCATGCGATCTGTTCAAGTACTAACCAGCTTTACACAGCCTGCGATCCCATCCGCACAAAGTTTCTAAGGTTACTTGCTGCCTTTAGTTCGATCCGCCTTATTGCAATTGCCTGCGTGGCATTTCATCTTCCAGTACAATGACCACAAATACCAACAGAAACTTACCACAATGTGCCCTCTACCAGCCACGTGCAGGCCATTTCTCTCTTCATTAGAGTATGGTTGAAGGTTGAGCCATCTGTAAAGGCGCGTCTGTGTTGCCTTCACGGCCCCGATATATCTTCGAATACTTCATTGGAGCCAGTGGTACAGAAACTCCGTTCGATCCGTTTCGTGCGTGGGAGCCTTGGGTTTCTCATTTGCATGTCGATTCCATGCGAGCCAGAGAGACAGCGCAGGAGGCTGCTTAATGGAATTTCTAAAGGATCCGGTGCAATTTCTGGAACCCGAAACTACTCCTTCCGGGGTACGTACGACATGTTCCTCCAGCCCCCGCTGGTTGGGCACGCCCTGGGCTGCGCCACTGGGCACTTTCTACACTCCGGTTGATTCTTTCTTTCTGTATCCATGTATCTACTCTCTTCTCATTAGTCGGTGTTTGGAGCTCTCTTTTACCGAGTCCGTTACAACAGCCATGATTCTAATTTGCACTCTGTCTCCCTTTTTCTATCCCTGTGTCTTCCCTCTTAACGCTGCCCAATTTCAAATTACCTGTAGTCCTCATTGTGAATGCGTTCATTTTTTGGAATATTCTATATACAATATAAACACTATAAAATCCTTCATCTCTGCCCAAGCATTCCATGATTCGCCTCCCAGAACAACCGACACCCCGTATGCCCCCAATGATCCGTCCACCACTCCCCAAAACTATCCTGCACATCCTCCTCATCAACCCTAAGAACCCTCTCATCCCTCTTGAGCGCACAAAGCGCACAAGCATGCGCAGCCTTCAACGCCCCCTGCCCCGACTTCGCAGTAATAACCTTTAAAGCCGCAGGCCCGGCCACAGCCGGAATGGGCCGAAGACCAGCGCTCTGAACCACGGCGTTGAAGAGCGCCGCACGCTCGCGCCAAAGGGCAAGGACATCAGCGGCATCTTGCTCCTCCTTCACATCTTCGTGTTTATTTACAGCGTTGAGTTTCATGCCGCTTGATTTGCCTGCGCGGGCGGGTCCGATGCGCATGCTTTGGCTGAGGATTGTGTCGCGTTTCCAGCGGAGATGGCGCCCTGCTATGATGCGGGCTGCTGTTGAGGTTGTTGTGTGGATTTTGGAGGCGGTGGCGGGTTGGCGGGTTGTTTTGCTGCTGGTTGTTGCGGCTTCTTTTTGGAGGTTGTTCATTAGTTCGATGAGGAGTTCTAGGAGGACGGATGGTGGGGGGATGTTGGTTGGTCGGACGTTCGAAGATGGGGCGGTGTTTCCTGACGTGAAACTTTCTGGGGGTGGGCTTGTAGGTGTTGACTTTTGTCTTGTGGGTTCTGGTGCTGGTGCTGGGGTCGTCAGTGGACCGTCATTGAAGTCACCCCAGTCATCAAAGGCCTCGTCGTCCCATTCTGGTTGTTGAGGTGCGGGCCTTGTAGTAGTTTGTTTCTTCTTTAAGGGGGGATTTTGGCTTTGGATTTGATTTTGGGACTGATGCAGGGGTCGGTATAGAAGCTGGAGCTGAAGCTGGAACACTTTGTTTTGTGGAAGGTGCATCCGTGAATTCCCCCCCAGTCCCCAAATGAGTCGTCTTCCCATGTTGGATTGGAGTCTGGCAAATGATTGACTGTTTCTATAGGCGGCTTGCTTTCAATGCTTCTAGAAGACTTATTTGCAGTTGAGGTCCCGTCTTCGATTGACAGTGAGTCAAGCAAGTCGAACGTGCTTGTCACTTGCTGGACTTTTGGTGGTGGTTTGGAGACTTTGGTTTTTTGAGCGGCGGGCGTTGAATACTGTGACTGATATGACCGCGCAGTACTGGCATCTGGTCCCTCAAAATCACCCCAGTCGTCTTCCGTATCACTGGCAGGAATTTCTTCTGTAGCATCAAATAATACGTCGCTGTTATTCTGCCGAGGCAGATTGAATGCTGGCAAGCTTGGCACTTGTTGATGGGCAGCTGGTGCCTGAGTGACGTATTGGCCAGAGGCTGAGCTTGAACCGAATTGTTGATTCGCACCCGACTGACTATTCGTGGGTCTAGCGAAAAATAAATCATCCGATTGATCAAAGTCGTCAATCAATGGGTTTGCTTGTGGCTGTAGTTGTTTGGTCGTCTGTGGTCTGCCTAAAGTGCTTTGAGTCGGGGCGGGACCCTGCCCAAACTCTGCAAATAAGTCTGCGGACATTATATCCGAGTGCTGCGTAACATTAAGGGATGTGTGGAGATGGAGTATAGGACCGGGAGACTGACCAGATACCAACTTGGAGTTCTGTCGGCTTTGGGTTTCAAGGTAGGGTTTGAAGTGGGAGTTGGAGGTGCGCGCGATAAGAAGTGCGGATTACATTATCGCCCTTCCCCTCACCCGCATCTTCCCTCCGCCATTTCCCAGCCACAAAACACATGAAATGAGAACCATTGAGGAGACCAGGTACTTATATCCAATATACAGGGATCACTTGCATGACTGACCCCCTGTAGAAAGAGATGGGCGATACTGTTCAATAGCGACGCTCCCTCCGATTTTCGAGCTGCGCTCCGAACGGAGCAGGGAGGGAAGCTGTGCAACGATGGACTGAGGTCGATCTGCTGGAAGGTCCGTGGCAAAAGAACGACTGCAGCTCTTATTTTAAGTACTCACTCCGTCTGCAGGTGTTTCTGCTCTTCGAGGGTCTCGATCGCGAACAATGGTCCAAGAAACTAGACGAGTCGCGTGACGCATACAGCGCACTCCGCGCCCACTTTTTGAAATATATTGAACACCCAGACGATCTAGAGTCAAGTGCTGATCCGCTGGCGGATGATGAAGAGGTATGTTTGACTCGGCCTGTGGTGAATGAAGAGGCCCTCCAGCGCCACCCGGGGAATCCTTGATTACCCAAGCTTTCTAACTATCGTGCATCTATAGTCACCTTGGCAAACACTTCGCCAGGATGAGAAACTTCGAGTGGAGATTTTACAAGACGTTGACCGATGCTTGCAAGAAAATTACTTTTTTCAAGAGCCAGCAACCAAGTCAAAACTGACTGATGTCCTATTTATTTACTCGAAGCTCAATCCTGATGTGGGCTACCGGCAAGGCATGCATGAGCTCCTAGCTCCGATCCTTTGGGTAATCGACCGAGATGCCATCACTCAGCCATCAGAAAGTTCTGCAAACACTTCTGGAGCTGGCGATGACAGTTTAATGTTGGGCCTTCTTGATGAGCAGTTCATTGAGCATGATTCATTCACGCTGTTTCTCTGTGTAATGCAGACGGCTCGTACATACTATGAGCATGGCGAGACCCGGTCTTCCGACGGTCAAATGGACGTCATTCCAATTGTCAGTAGGTGTGATTATCTTCACAAAGAAGCTCTGGGAACTATAGACCATGAGTTAGCAGATCATCTACAAGCGATAGAAGTGCTACCTCAGATTTTCTTAACGTGAGTTAATGATGTGACTGGCCCGAAAGAAGACCTAGCTGATTGAGGCTGAAGCCGTTGGATGCGTTTACTCTTTGGACGTGAATTCCCGTTCGACGATGTGTTGATGATGTGGGATGTTTTGTTCGCCAATGGCCTAACATCTGATCTTGTGGACTTTACCTGCATTGCAATGCTGCTTCGAATTCGCTGGGAGCGTGAGTATCTCAACGATATTGGTTTGATTACAATGGAATATTAATATCATATAGTGCTCAACGCAGATTACACAGGTGCATTGTCATTGTTACTGCGCTACCCCTCTCCGGAACCACATGAACCTCGGACTTTCATTCATGATGCATTGTATCTTGAGCAGAATCCCACGGCGGAACGAGGCAGTTTCATTATTTCGAAATATTCAGGCAAAGAGCCAGAGTCGTCCAAGCGCCACAGTCAATCCCGCCTACGGCCTGCACGACGAGCACATTTGTGGGATGATTTTACAACTAGCAGTGGTAGCAACTCTTCTACACAATCACCAAACAGAAACAGTCCAAAGAGCCTCGAGTCGCTGTTACAAGATGTGTCTCAGGGGATCCAACGACGCACTGAGTCTTGGGGTGTGACCAAGGCTGTCCGAGGGGCTGTCACTGAAGCCAGAAAGAACATGCAGACAATGAACTATGAGCCGGGGCTGCGGGCACACAGCACAGACCGAAAACCGACAGCTGCGATGCCGCCGAGAATTCCCAAGACACCAACAGCCACTGAGCTAGGTCTGAAAGCACAAATCAACCGCCTGGAAGAGAGAAATCAAGAATTGGCGAATACTCTGGGCGATGCATTAAAAGACCTTTATTTACAGCTAGCCACCGTCAAGGATCTTGATTCAAATGCACATGATGCCCTGAAACAGACCTTGAACAGGGCTGTGTCGGTACAAAGCTGCCTTCAAGACCCTTCACTCCCATTGCCAGTCTTGGCTCCAGATTTGATACCAGTCGAAGAAGCCGATGAGACGAATGAAGCAGAACGATCACCAATTCCCCCGCCCAAGGACCCCAAACCCACAGAGAGTGAAACAGATGCGACCGCCAGCGATCAGCCAAATACAGTTAACGACCATGTGGACAATCTCTTGTCCAACGCCAAGGACGATCCCCCAGAACCAGGGAGCGGCGCAGGAGAAACGAATGCTGGCGGCCCGCCCGAAGCAAGGCGGGAGGCACAGCGGCCGAATCTGCGACCATCCCTGTCCGATGCAGGGTTCTCGTGGATGCTAGAAGGCAGTCGAAACCTATCCAGTTTCGTGAGCTCGGCATCGGTGCCCCCGGAACAGACTCGACACCAGGAGTCACCCCGAACGAAAGGCAGTCCCTTGTTCGGAAGCAACGGGGAGGAGAAGCCAGGCTCCGATGCCGAGCAAGACGAATTGGCTTTGCGTAGTCTCCGGGGTCCGCTCTAAACGGCAGGGATAAGGAGGATGTATCCTGGTCGAAGTCGCATATGCGGGCGGAGCGGTATGAAGATCCCCAATGGTTGTGATACGCCAGATAACTTGAACATTTGAGCTAGTCCTTGAACAGTCTTGCGGGTTTGCCGTCGGTGTATAGAGTCGGGTGTTGGTCGGGAGTTGGCCTTTTTAGTATCATAGTACAATTTTTGGATTTAGTTATCCAGTTGGCGCAAGTGGAGGTTTTCCTTTTTAGCCATGCACAATATTCCCTATACCTTCTGAGATTTCTGATACTTGTCAGCGATGAAGATGTTTGACTGTTTATCGTGATGTCCATGATTCCCGTAGAGTGTCTCTCCCGCCCACGGGCCAAGCTACCCCAGATTACCGATCTGATAACATGGCGTGTTTCAACAATGAACTAGACTGTCTTTGCCAAGGGTGTTGTGCATCAGGAACCGCCACCTCCGTTTGTCGCAGCACGGTCAAGTTCGTAAACTGGATTTCACTGGGCTGTCATTGGGCCCTAGTGCGAGATAGCGGTGGGGCCTCGGATCTGTCGGGCAAGAAAAGAACCACTTTTGTAATTGGAACGGCAAAAAGAGGAAGCGGAAGTAAGAGGTACGGAGTATGTTTACATGGTGCAGAGTGGAGTATGAAAGGGCTGTGCGTTGGGTGCTATAGTGCTATAGTATTGTATACTCGAGAGTACAGGTTTGGACATCCATACTCGGCAATACGAGTACGTGGTAACATGGGGGGATATTCTTCTCGCGCTATTCAAATATCTGCCCAAGTGGAAAAAAAAGGCTTCATAGTCAAGGTGACTGCCGTGCCGATCGGTAGATCTCTATTAGAGGTAAAATCCTGACCCTCTTTCCTCCATATAATTTTTCCATTTTACACACGGGGGGGGGACGAGGCCATCTCGCTCATTACATCACCCCCGCCCCTTTCCCTTTTTCTCTTTCTCCCCACCGAAAGAACCCCCCCCCCCCACCGCTGTATTCCACGCATCCTTTTTCTCTTCTCTTCTCCTTCTCCTTCTCCCTCGAGAGAGAGAAAGAGAAAAAGAAGAAAAGAGCCCCAGCTCATCGCGCTCTCCTCTCGTCCGCGACGCCACATATGCTGGGCGCATTTCGAGGCAGCTGCCCTCTCATCGACCCGCCCCGCTGACTCGAGCGAATGACCGTTCCCTTCCCTTCCCCTTCCATGTCGCATTCGACTCGTCGCTCCTCTTGAGCCTCGTCTACCCTTGTCCCCCTGGCTTGGGATCTTTCCGAGTCTGAAGAGAATGGGGGCGGCATACAACCCCGATGGTAAGTCATGCGCTGCCTTTTTTCTGGCGGTTTCACATGTCATGCGAAGGTAAGAGAGAGAGGGGGGAAGTTGAGTACGAGTATCGTCGCGAGGAACAGGTGCCTTGTTCCCCACAGGCCACCGGGAAGCAAACAAGCAACTCAAAAGCTCGGAGGAAATGAGACTCTTGGGTGAATGATTTCCTCACGGGTTTTCTGAGCCATAAAAAAATGAATCAAATGTCAGAGAAGAGACCAATACAGAGTTTGCATGCTTCGGGACGCATCTGACCCGCGGAGATCGACCTTCTTTCCCCCCTTCCCGCATCACTTGAGGATATCACATTTGCTGGAACTCTCTCGTGGCATGGAATTTGCGACCTGCATCGTGATGAAGTAATAACCGGCGCAGCATGCTGATCTTCTTTATCTAGGCGAACCGAGTCCTCTGTCGTCGCCGTTGGGTCCGCTCTCCGAATCTCCCGAGTCGGAGTCGGGTATTCACAAACTTTCATTGTACACAGACCAACCGATGAGAAGCTCGGTGGACAGTCTCTCGTCAGGATATGACCCTCTTTCAAGGTCCGTTCTTGTTTTCCCCCCCTTCCTTCTACCCCTCCATGCGGCATGTTAAGAGACTGACGTATTCACCGCATCTTCAGTAGATCTCCGCTGTTCGAGAACGAGCATGGACTTGGCCCAACCGGTCTGGATCGTATACGGCATCAGCCTTCACGGGTACTGACGCTTCCAAACCTGTCAACTTCGTCGTTGGCTCCGATGACTACCTCGCGTACCTCCCCGTCTCCCCGCTCGAGATCTTCATCCCGTGCACAAACCGGCCGTATGTCCATGAGCCAGGCCTTTGGAGATCTCGAAGATCTCCACCGGTTCCCTTTGGAATCGTTACACTCTTTTTCCTTCGCACAACAATCAGAAGAGCTTCTCCACAGCCGACAAAACATTCTTAAGAGATCGATTGATTTCATGCGCGACCGCATGGGATGGGCCGCCAACCACCCAGGACTCGCCTACGCCCAGGCAAACGCCAGCGGTGATTCGGACTTGCAGAGTATGATGGACCTTTTGACCCGGGCCAACGTTTTAGAGGAAGAGCGAGCCAATGCGCGAGCTCCCCTTACAGGCCCTGCGGATTTCAATGGTGACAACATTTTCGAGAAAGCCTTTTCAGACCATGGTTCTCCCCCGGCAACTAGAGATGCTTTCCAGGATATGCCACTTCCCCCCGGGTCACAGGCATCTAGCAATTCTCAAGTTCTCAGCCCCATCCCAAGCGACCGCATCCCGCAATCCAGGAAGGACTTGATATCGGCTCCGACATCCCGGCGCGTAAGCTTAAAACGTACATACACGGATCTCAACTCTGCGTCGCTCAAAAGCAAGCTGATGGAAACTCTAGCGCAACCATATTCGTCCGTGGATCCTTTCGCTTCTCTTGGTTCATCGACCGCTGGGTTGGGATTCCCCATGCCGGCCTTGCATACCCATAGCAGCAAATGGACCCCCGTTTCCCAGGCCGTTTTCCGGACTGAAGCCCAGGCGCCATGGACTATCATTGCAGCTAATGATCTCTCATGCCTTGTATTTGGAGTCACACAGTCCGAGGTCCGTCGACTGAGTATCCTAGAGGTTGTACAGACAGAGCACAGGCAGTGGCTCGAAGCCAAGCTTAAAGACCCCAGTACTGATGCTGCTGCCCGCACGCCACTCCAAGCGGAAAGGCCCAACATCCGAGCAGTTAATCCAAAGTACCGGGGTCTGGGGAATGGAGTGACGGCGCAATTACTTAGTAAACCCTCCTCGCGCGAGAAATCCCGGAGAGCACAGACCGATGATGGATATGGTTCAAGCAAGAGGAATCCTCGCAATCCCAACCACCCAGCAAACAAATCGCGCGGCGTTTTATTATGTGGCGACGTTGTTCCGATCCAGAAGCGCAACGGCACTAAGGGCTCCGCTAGCGTTTGGGTAATGGAGAAGCGGGGTGGCCTGATCTGGGTGCTTGAGGAGATTACAGAGAACATTGCGTCTGTCCGCTGTGATGAGTCTTGGAATGTTGTTGACACCAAAGGAGACGTTGACAAGATTTGGGGTTCGCATGTAGTCAGAGCGGGCCAGTCGATAACTGAGCTTCTGCCTCGTCTGCCATCGGAGTCCCTCAATACTTCGCTCGAAAAGGGGCTTGCCAAAATCGTGGAGTTGAAGCACTTCGCCGCGCTTACTTCGGCCGGCGTCTGCATTCCCGTGACAGTGGCCCGATCAGAAGAGAACCGTACTTTGCAAGTATCGAGTTTCCCGCATGTCGCAGGAATGATGGTGCTTTCTTCTTCTACATTGAATGTGATCAGCTCGAACTCGGTATTTTCATCGGCTCTTTTTGGCCAGGAACGCCCCGAAGGACACCATATCACAGAACTGGTCCCAGGATTTGACGAGATTCTGGATGTTTTAACCGAAGAAGACAATGTGCCATTGGTCGATGGCATCGTGATCCCTGAACATAGCTTCCGTCGGGCGCGAACCCTGTCCATTTTGCGCGACGGAAAGGCGAACGCCGCATCTGTCTTCACAGAGCCCAGTGGCTTGCTGGCAAAGCACCGGGACGGCTCCACGATCGTGGTTGACATACAATTGCGGGTGGTCAATAGCGGCACTTTCTTCTCCAAGGAACAAGTAGAGAGGATTGAAGAGCGCTCAAGCGACTCGGAGGACAGCGATGATACAGTGGCGGTCACCGAGCTGGTATATGCCCTGTGGATCACATACTCGCGACAACTACACGCCGCGGGCGCCGCAGCCAACCTCTCATCATCCTCGCTGCCGAGCTCAAAGCCAAGCTCCCCAACGACCAAACCTTCAACAGAAGATTCAGCAACGACTTCCACCGAGAAGACAAACTCCGCCACTGTCAATACCGCCGTGGAAGTTCAGGCCCCGAGCTCAACTCTCAGTCAGCAGCTCAGTGAAGCGGCATCGCAGCCTCTCACGGACCGCCCGGTTCAACCTGTACCCGAAGTCAACTCTAATGCCAAGAAGGAAGCCCCGCAGAAACGCACCATCGATGACTATGTTATTCTCGAAGAAATGGGTCAAGGTGCCTATGGACAGGTGAAGTTAGCCCGTCTGAAGAAACAACCCAACAAGAAGATGGTGTTGAAATATGTCACGAAAAAGCGGATCTTGGTGGATACCTGGACAAGGGATCGCCGACTCGGAACCGTGCCCCTTGAGATCCACGTTCTGGACTTTCTTCGTCGGGATGGCTATAAGCATCCAAACATTGTGGAGATGGATGGCTTCTTTGAGGATGATGTCAACTATTACATTGAGATGGTCCCCCATGGACTTCCGGGGATGGACCTTTTCGATTATATCGAACTCAAGGCCAACATGGACGAATCGGAATGTCGAAACATATTCAAGCAGGTGGTCGACGCCATCCACCATTTACATACCAAGGCATTGGTGGTCCATCGCGACATCAAGGATGAGAACGTGGTTCTTGATGGCGAGGGACGGATCAAGTTGATCGACTTCGGCAGCGCAGCTTATATTAAGAACGGTCCCTTTGATGTCTTTGTGGGCACGATCGACTATGCCGCCCCGGAGGTGTTGCAAGGGAAGTCATACCGAGGCAAGGAACAAGACATATGGGCCCTGGGCATCCTGCTGTACACAATTGTGTATAAAGAGAACCCATTCTATAATGTTGATGAAATCCTCGACCACCCACTTCGCATCCCTTTCCTCCCATTTTCGGAAGAGTGCATCGATCTGATCCGCAAGATGCTGGACCGCGACGTCGACAATCGACTGACCATCACGGAAATTGTCGATCACCCTTGGATGACGGCGACTTGAAACCGAATCTTGCACTTACTTTTGCTCTTGCTCCTGCACGCTCTCACGCCAGTGTCATGACCAGCAAATAAATTTAAAAAACACACACGATACCCCACGACGTTTTGCTTGAACCATTGAATATCATGAATATCATGGACGAAGGAGAGAGGGGGAGGAGTGATTATTTTTTTTTTCTTTTTTCCTTTTTCTCTTTTTTTGGGGGGTGTTTATTTCTGTGTATCTCAGATGGGGTTGGAAATTGGGGGCATTGCACAAAAAAAATCTAACTGTCTCTAATGCATTTTGTCATGGCAGTGTGTGTTTGTGTCGCATTTTGCTTTTTGGACACCCTACTTGCATCACACCACATTTTTTTATTTATACATTTTTTTTGGCTTTCCCACAATCATGTCTGTACTTAGATCACACACATCAACAATCTAGATGCATTCTCACCATGTGGTAGTGGATTCAACCGATTTAATCTAGGTATAGCGTGTGTGGGGGATACTACTAGTAGGTGACGGGCTCCTTGGCAAAATTGGTCTAGTTTCATTTAAGAGTCTGGAGATAGTCTGGAGTAGTTTAGCGCGGTCAACTGTAAGTTGATGGCCACCCTTGTCCCGTCGCTACGCCGCACTGGCACTGGCACTTCAGTCTTTGGTTGTATCTGACGGTGGTAGCCGTGTATATGTCTCGGCTAGTTTGGGTCTCTTGGGCCGTCTTTTGCGCCAGAGACCATTCGAATTGACCTCTGGATTTCGCCTTCGCCTCCACCTCCACTTCCATCACTTCCACCGAGACAAGTGGAATGGATATCTCTTGTCCCACGGATCGCGCCATGCCCCCCCCCCCGCACCACAAGAAAACGCCCCTCTTCCCTCTTCCCTACCATTCCCCCGCTTGGGCGATGGCGACGTGGGTGCCCTCAGGAACGGGAAACTGAATGTCCACTAGACTAAACTATGTCGTTGAAAAAGGTAAAAAGAGGAGGCTGACCCAGATTGAGGAGACCAGTCAAGGCGTCGTCAGCCGATGGGGTCGTGTGCCACCCTGTCACCCTGTGCTGTATGTGTGTACTGGGTGTAGGTAAGTGCGTTATTTTCTTCTAGAATGGTGGAAGTGGGTTGGTCTAGGCGGGGCAAAGGCGATAAGCCGGATGGTCCCATTTGTTCTATCTGGTACATCCAATGTGCTGGATGGCTCTACCTTTTGAAAGGTACTTGACGTATCCCCATACCAATCAGAGTACTAGTACAAGTTGTCCTCTGTCCTCTCTGTAGTAATCGCAGTACCTGAGCAGAGGGTACGAGTATGCTCGGTGTGCCGACTGGAATGTCACGGGTACTTTCTCTCTCTTTCTCTCTGCTCCCCTAGTCTTTCTCCCTCCTTCTACTCTCACGTCTCTCTCTTCATCCTCCTTCGTTTTCTTCAATACTTCCAATAGCCACCCACCCCCTCCATCGGACACCCGGACGCCCTCGGCACCTTCACTTTGAGCCGGTCCAAGTGCCGGTGGTCGAAGTCGGTGAGTGCCACGGTTGAAACGGCCGACAGCCCCCGAGTTCCAGTCTGCTCCGCGTCCTCGACTTCTTTCAAGGCGTTCCTCCTTTGCTTTGCTTTTGCTTTGCATCTGAAGAGACTCCCCTCCCGCGACCGACTGGATGATCACGAACCGGCACCACTATGACCATCTAACTACAAGTCGATTCCTTGGTGCTCCCTCAACTCCCCTTCCCGCAGTAGCGGCCTTCTTTGTTCTCTCCCCATGAATTTCATCGTATCTACTTCCTCCTCCCCCGATTCCACCATGGCCACCCAAATGGCCGACGAGATCATGCCTTCTTCCGAAAACACCCCAGGGTCTCCCACCTCCTCCACGGGTCAGATCCCACTCGAACAACCACAGAAATTAAAGGGTCGCAAGAAATTCTTGCAGAATCTCCAGCGCATGTCGTCTAGTCCGACGTTGACCCGCCGCGGCCGATCTGCATCCACCGGTTATCGGCGGGACCACAAGGCCTCCTTATCGTGTGTCTCGTTATCGTCCACTGCATACTCTCCATGCCTGGGCAATGAGAGCAGTTCACAACTGTATGGAGGTCTCAACCCCCGACCGGCCACCCCGGGCTACGCCGGACCGTCGGGTGACCCCCAAGGCATCAACAATCGAATTCGTCTGGTCGGCACAGACTCCCCCATCACTTCCCAACCACGCACGATTCCTTTGCCATTCGACGTACGACCTGTTTCGAGCGGTTCGCCTCGCAGTCTCACCCCTGATGGTGCGAAGGAGGAGACAGAGGCAGAGACAGAAATAGCGGTGCCAGAGCCGCGGTTGGTCAGAGAGCTGGACTTCTGGGGCGAACTACCCCAAGAGCTGAAGGTTGAGGTCTTTCGCTACCTCGACCCTCGCGAAATCGTCCGATGTTCTGCTGTATCGAAGTCATGGAATGCCATGTGCTTTGACGGGCAGCTGTGGTCAAAGGTTGACACAACTGAGTTTTACCAGCGAATCCCGGGTGATATTCTGGTAAAGCTGATCACGTCGGGTGGTCCCTTCGTACGGGATCTCAACTTGAGAGGCTGTGCTCAGATGCGGGATAAGTGGTCTTCGGAGGGCGAGCGTATCTCCGACCTGTGCCGAAATGTGGTTAACTTTTCGCTCGAGGGTTGTCGCATTGATAGAATATCGATGCATCATTTCCTGACTCGCAACCCGCGTCTAAGATACATCAACATCTCGGGCTTGAACAGCGTAACAAATCACGCAATGAAGGTCATCGCGCAATCCTGCCCAGAGCTCGAATCTTTCAATATCTCGTTTTGCAAACACGTCAAGACCATTGCGCTTCTTCAAGTGGTCCAGGCCTGCCAACAGCTTAAGGATCTCCGTGCAAGCGAGATCCAAGGTTTTGATGACGAGGACTTCATGCTGGCTCTGTATGAACGAAATACATTGGATCGACTGGTCATGAGTCGCACCGATCTAAACGATGAGAGTTTGAAGGTCCTGATGCATGGTGTCAATCCAACAATCGACGTTCTCACTGATCGACCGATTGTCCCTCCACGTCGTTTTCGCCATCTCGATGTTCACCACTGTCACGACTTGACTGATAGTGGGCTTAAGAGTTTAGCACATAACGTCCCTGACCTGGAGGGTTTACAAGTTTCGCAGTGTCCGGAACTAACCGATGATTCGGTCATCGAGGTGATTCGCACAACACCCAAGCTTTCACATCTGGAATTGGAGGACCTTGAAAATCTGACCAACTTGACTTTGACTGAACTTGCCAAGTCAGCCCCCAAGCTCGAGCATTTGAACATCAGCTACTGCGAAAGCCTTGGCGACACTGGCATGTTGCAGGTCATGAAGAGCTGCCCCAAGCTTCGCTCCGTCGAGATGGATAATACGCGAGTGTCAGATCTAACCCTGATGGAAGCCAGTTACCGGGTCCGCAGGCGTGGCTACGGCGAAGAAATTCCCAAGGTTGGATTACGCCTTGTTGTGTTCGACTGTGCCAACGTCACCTGGGCTGGCGTGAGAGAAGTACTCTCCAGCAACGCCTACCTTCCCCGAGTTCGCAAACCAGTATCGGCGGTAGTTACGGTCACCCAAACTTCGGAAGATGATTCGTCCCCCACAACCACTGCCTTTGTTACTCCGAGCTCGACTCCGCCTCCAGTAGCCACCTACCCTAGCGAGATTATCCAACTCAAGTGCTTTTACGGTTGGCAGATGACAGTCGACGAACACACAAAGCGTGTCAAGCGTGGCGATCTTGCCGCGGCAAGTCGTTTGGACCGCAAATGGACCGATTACATGATGGCCACAGAAGAAGCTGGAGCGGCGGGTGCAGGTGCTCGACGGAGAAGACGCCGGGCCCGCGAAGCAGAGCGATTGTACAATGCCGATGACTCTGAGGAAGAGAGTTACGGTATTGGTTTGTCTGCTCTGGGTGGTACTCGTCGTCGCCGCGCCCAAAGCGGCAGTAGCTGCACAGTGATGTAGCGCGATTCTTGACCATGGAACGACATGCAATGACTCCGGTCCTCGAGTCACTCAACTTCCAGCCAATCCCTTTTTCTGCGAATAACGATGCCAGCGCTGGATCGCTGGCCACGTCGACAGAACTCAAATATTATGAGACATGCATGAGACGATTTCACTTTCTCGATGGGTATTGTTTCTCGATGAAACACAATTACTACGCTCATCTTTTACCCCCTCTTTCGAGCCAATTTCTATCTTTTTTTTTTTTTTCTCGGCCTTTTGCAACCATCTTGCTCATGACTTTGATTCATTTTAGCATACTAGAATGGCGAGGATATCGGAGTTTCTCTATTATTTCTTTCCCCCGCTCTAGTCTGCGAGATATCTTTTGAATTGAATCCAAATTCAATTCTCATAGTCATACTACATTTCTACCATCGTACTCTTTCGATTAAAAATCCTTTTGATATTGGGCTGCGTTTCATGCAATGCTACATGGGATATCAGGCAGAAGATAAAAGAAACAAATGAGAACCGTACAAACGCATTACTCGAAGAAACCGCCATCACTCTCGTTGCCATCAGCAGGCGCGGCTACATGGTGGTAACCCTTGCCTTGTCCCCGTTGGTGTTCGCGTTGACCCAGCTGGTCACGCTTGTAGGCACGTCGTTCCCTCCTCGAAGCGAACTCGGGCTCCGGCTCTTCTTCCTTTGGCTCTTGCTTCGTTGTCTTCTTCGTCTTCTTGTCGTCTGCACCCGAAGTCGATTTCGACTTCTTGGCCGGAGCGGGGGCCGGTTTGGCGACGGGCTTAGTGGCGGGCTTGCCATCGAATCCAATGTTCAGTTTGCCCTCACGGAGAGAGTCAAGGGTCTTCTCCTTCATGCATTTCTCAACAACGGACCAAAGAGCCGGCTTCTCTCCCTCCGGCAGGTCCTTCTTGTTCTTGCTATCGGACTCGGACCCCGATTCGGCACCTGCATCGTCCGAGGTCTTACCCTTCGACTTGGGGTAGAGCGAGAT